TTTTTTTTCTTGAAGTTTTGATCTTATACAAATCAAATGAATATAAAGATCAACATAATTTTCACATTTAATTCTATCTGGTAACCATAAAATAATTGGATTATCAATTGCTAAATATTGACATATTTCAATTAATGATTGTGTAGATTTTTGTTGAAGATTATCTTCAATATCTTTTAATTCATTAAGAAATTTTGTAATTATTTGAATTTTTATTTGAATTTTGTCTATATCATTATTGTCATCCATATTAAATATGTTGTTATTTAATTTTTCAATCAATTCTTCATTTACTTGAGAATCAATATGAACTCGAAGTAATGATGAAATATCCGTAAATAAATGTTGAAATCCACTAATAGATTCTTTATAAATTTCAATAACATGATTAATATAACATAATTGAAAATCTTTTATTTCATATTGTTCTAATCGTTGAAGAATATCATTATCATAATCAGTCATTTTAATAAATTCAAAGAGATAATATGATGCAAAATCATTTTGATGATTTTTTAATGTTAATGCTATTTGTCTTAGAAGATTATGAGCATAATAAATTTTATCTAATAAAATATCTTTCAAATGATTCCATTCATTTTCAAATTGCTCATCACTTAATCGAATCAAATATTTTTTATCGAGATTTAAATATTCAGCATCTATTGTTGATTTTCTTTTTGTGTGACATTGATATTTTTGAATAAAATGATGATAGTCAATTCGACAAAATAGAATATATGTTCGAATAATCTGTGATTGAATATAGACAAAATCAAACTTTAATCGTGAACCAGATGTAATGAAATATTGTTCTTTGTTATTAATAAGACTTGTTTGAGATAATTGTTCAATCCATAGACAGTCTTTTTCATTTAAATTAATTACACCTGTATTATCATTTGCAATTTGTAAAATCGAGACATCTTTTGATGTTAATTCCTTGATCAATTTTTTCAGAGAACCAACAGTATGATTTTCATTAGTTATTAATTCATTTTCCAGTAAGTCTAACAAACTATTGTGGTAATCAACTAAGACACTAAAAAAACAAACAATTAAGAAATTTACTTCATACAATTATTTAATAATAAGATTTCAATCGACACAAAAATCTAAGTGTATTCATTTACCAATTGCGTAAGTTGGAATTCAAAGTAGTTAACTTTTTCAGTTTTGAAATTTAGAAAATGAATACGAAAATTTGTTTTCCAAATCATTAGAATACCTTATTATTTGGTTAATCGAAAAATTGCATCGTAGTGACAGACTATCTTCATACATATGTTTGAATTTCCTATACAAATTATCGACTTCAAAAGGATAATATCATATTTGTTATTGGTGAAAAATATGTTCTCATATTTTTATTTTTGATTGTTAAAAATGACACACCGCTAGCTTCTTGTATGCTCAACTCATTCAATTTTTCATAAGATTCAGACTGAAGAAAGCGATCGATAGGTTAATACTTAAAAAGAAAAAAACAAAACCCGATAATAATGCATCAAGGATAAAATGAGTTCTAAAGAATGTGGATGTAAACTGAGATGCGTTTTGGTGTACACGCACTCTCTAAAAAAAATCGGTACTCTACCGAGCCTTTTTAAGTTCCGCAGCAGCTACGAAACCTTTTTATGATTGGTGAAATGCAAAAAAGGTTCAGTAGGAAAAATACGAAACCATTCAGGTTCGAGACGAATTCTTAATGCGGAACTTTAAAGAGTTCTGCAGTATAACTATTTTTTTAGAGTGCATATTCTTGTTACCAATATTAGATCCTAGTAGATTCTGGTGAATTGTTTAAATAAACCTCTCATATAAAGTATAGGAATTTTGAATTATTTTATATTTCATGTAAGTCATAAACTTCAGCATGAATTCGAAAGTTCGGAATCGAATCAGCTGACTACCAACGATAAAATTAATGTTACATCTATTTTTCATGGATATTTTCAGTGATAATAAACCATAAAAGACAAGAGTTCGTCAGAAAATTGTTTCATTTATAGAAACTTGTAGAGCTAGTAAAACTGAGCGTTTTGCTTAAAAAAAACTTTTAGATATCCTCAAAAAATGATAGTAATACATTCCAAATCCTCAAAATCTTCCGGCTATTCCTAACTTCTGTCGAGCAGTAATTGACGCTTTTTGAGGATTTTGAACGTAATATCATCATTCTTTGAGGATATTTAAAAGTTTTTTTTTTACCAAAATGATCAACTTTACCAGCTCTACAAAGTTCTTTAAATGAAACAATTTTCTGACGAACTCTTTGTCTTCTATGGTTTACTATCATTAAAAATATCCATGAAAAATAGGGGTAGTATTAATTTTATCGTTGGTAGTGAGGTACTTCATTCATCAGTTTCAATTACCCAATGATTGGAACTAGATATTCTCTTTTTGTACTAGGATAAGTATTTCAAATACTTGCTCTCGGCCATGTCAAATACGGAAGTTAAAAGTAAAGTGTATAGAACAACCTTGAAATATATATATATAATAAATGAATTAACCTGAGTATGCGCATAATAAT